AAAACGATCCGATTGTTCAGAACTCGGGTCCGACAGACGACTGGGGAACGCTCGGCAAGGATGTATACAGAGCGAGGGCGCAACTCGGGGCAACCCCGGAAGCGCCACGCCCCGACGCAAAACGATCCGACTGATCAGAACTCTGGTCCGACAGACGACTGGGAAACGTTCGGCGATTTCCGGGATGCCGCTGTGTGCGCGGCAGGTCTGGACTCCGCGATGGACATGCCCATGTGCTGCCTGGCGCTCCGAGCGCGGCGTAAGAGCGAAACTATGTCGCTCCGCTGCTCTTGGAAGGACTCCCCGGCCAACAGCCGGGGGGGGCGCAGCAGGCTGCCGTCCACGCCGCACCACGCCTGGCACGCGCGGGGACATATGCGCGGACAGAGACACAGACAATCAGACAGACAGAGACAAAGAGAAACAGGGTACAAGGCAAAAGCGCCCTCGCCTGCAAAGCAGTAAACGGGTTAATCTTGAACTTGGAGACAGAAACAGAGTCGGGGACATGAAGGGAGGGAGACCAAGACAAGGGCGCCCTCGCCTGCAAAGCAGTAAACGGGTTATTCTTGAACTTGCCTGGCGTATCCCCGGCATCCGCCTCCACGCATACTCTCGAGGCAATGTTATTGTGGGCGTCGCCGCGGATAACGGAAGCATTGTAGATGAGCTGGCGTTCGACGATGAGGTCGACGATGTGCGTCAGCAAAGGCCGAAAACTCTTGACGACAATGCCCACCAGCGCCTGGCGACTCGGGATCGCCGAGATATCGGACGCCAGGTCCAGGGGGTCTGACACACCTCCCAGCGTGGCAATGCTGAGAGCTGGGGCCGTGTACACCTCCAGCAGGCGGCGCCTCGTCTCGCGCATGTTGAACGTCTCGTAGAAGGACTGGAGGAGCTGCGCCAGCCAGCCCAGCGTGGCGTAACACGTGCCGTACTTGGCCACGTGGAAACGCATGACGTGATGGACGTTGTATTTGTCCCGCAGGGCCCGCGAGATGTCGGCGTGCCTCACTCGCCACCTGCGCATCCTGGACTGCTTCGCGCAGGTCTTGCAGTATACGGAACTGACGTCGAGACGAAAAGGCCTGGTGCAATGGAGCACTGCCACGTGCGCACGAGAACGGACAACGACGCGATGGCCGCCCTCTTTATGCGCCAGTGCCTCCTGCGGCCACACCCGCAGCTCGCGGCCGCAAGGCGGCGCCGCGACAGGAGCAGCAGGCGCGTCAGCAGCTGGGACCCCGCGCTTCTGACGCGCCGCTGCCTGGGCGAGCTCTTCCATAACGTCCAACAGGTCCGCGGGCAACTCGGGGCAACCCCGGGAGAGCCCGCCTCCCGCTCCTCCGCCCTGGGCGGGGTTCTCCAGAAGGCGCTGCAGGTACACCGTGTCGCCCCTGAAACCTACGACGCGATGAGTCACGCCGACCTCGAAGAGCTCCGACGCGCAGCACGTCGCCATCCTTCGGCGCTGAAGAACGTGGGTGGCGTCAGCGGGCGCCGACTTGCACGAGGTAGCGGAGAGGGGCACAACGTCGCACATCGCAGTCCTGCGCTTGGAGAAAGTGTCCACGATGAACACCACCTGCGCAAGCAGGTGGAGAGAGATCTATATATATATATATATATACATATACATTTACATGCATCTACATATATATATATATATATACATATACATTTACATGCACATATATATAGGTAGAGGGTGCGCGCGCGCGCGTGAGAGAGAAGAGGGCGAGAGAGAGAGAGAGAGAGAGAGAGAGAGAGAGAGAGAGACAGAGAGAGAGAAAGAAAGAGAGAAAGAAAGAGAGCAAACAAAACAAGGGGACTCTCGGTTCTGCGTGACACCCGGGGGCGCCTCGTCGCCGCGGCGTGCGATGAGCCCAGCCGCGGGCGACAGCCGGGCTTCCCGCGGAATAGGGGGCGGCGCTGGGTCCAGCAGTCTGATCGCCCGCACGCAGCGAAGCATGGGCAGGGTGCGACCAGCAGCGAGGCGCGCAGCCCACTTGTCTTCCTGAACGGTAGCAGCGGTCAAGGCAGCGGCAGCGGCCAGGGCAGCGGCAGCGGCCATGACAGCGGCAGCGGCCAGGGCAGGGCACGAGGAAAGGGGAAGGGGCGGGGCCAGCAGCGAGGCGCGCAGCCCACTTGTCTTCCTGAGCGGTAGCAGCGGTCAAGGCAGCGGCAGCGGCCAGGGCAGCGGCAGCGGCCACGACAGCGGCAGCGGCCAGGGCAGGGCACGAGGAAAGGGGAAGGGGCGGGGGAGGAGGTTGGAGAATCGGGCACGAGGAAAGGGGAAGGGGCGGGGGAGGAGGTTGGAGAATCGGCGGCGATTTGGCCCCGCCGTGCCCGTCCTCGGCGCCGTCGCCAGTGGGGCCAGCACCGCAGCGAGAATCCCTGATGGACGTCCGCGCCGGCAGTGTGGCTGGAAGACACGCCGGCGCCGACTCCTGCAGGCGCGCTCTCTTCGGCGCCAGGCTAGCCGGGCGGACGTTCCGGGGGTCGCCGAGATCACGACAAACGCGCTTGCGCGAGTTGTGGAAACAACGCCAAGCGGGAAGCTGTCTCTGCGGCAATCGCGCGGCCGGCGACGTTGCAGGAAAAGGCCCCATGCTAGCCGCCTTGAGAAGGGCCTGGGGAAGGCAGATAAACGAAGCTGTCTCTGCGGCAATCGCCCGGCCGGCGACGTTGCAGGAAAAGGCCCCATGCTAGCCGCCTTGAGAAGGGTCTGGGGAAGGCAGATAAACGACGGCGACGGCGATGGCGGCGACGGCGGCGACGGCGACGGCGGCGGCGAGCGTAACTCTCCGCTCTCCCAAAAACCAAGGGTCGCGACGATTCCCAAAACACCTCGGAACCGTTCAGCGAGCCGGCGAGCCAGCGGGCCCGCACCGCCCCTGGATGGGGGGAGGATTAACCGCCGCGCGGCGGAGAAGATCTAGGCCGCATTCTCCACCAGAGACCCTCGTCGCATGGTCTCCTGCGTCTGACTGGGATTCCCGCGGCGTGGACGAGCCCACCCCTCAACCCCGAGCCCCCCGCTGCAGCGAGAGCACAGGGGCGCAACTCGGGGCAGCCCCGGACGCCGCGCGATTGAATCTTCGGCAGATGGGGCAACTTAAAGGGCCCACCCCTCCCTACCCAGAGCACCCGGCGCCGACGACACTGGCGGAGGGTCACGAGGATCCCCGGGCCCCCCCGGGTCCGCCCACAACGGCGATGGTGAACCTGGGCCAGATTGATTCATTGATTCCTCACCAGAGATCCTCCAGGTCCGTCCAGGTCCCGGCCCCCCGTCCTCGTTTTCCCAACCAGGGGAACTCCCGCCAGTCGCCCACCCACTCGCCCTATAGAGCCCGTGGGTCTCGGAGATCCCCGGGACCGCCCAAGGCGGAATTGTCTCAGGCGAGAACAGATGGGGGCGATTGCACGACGAGGACAACAACGTGACGGCGACGGCCCTGCGACGGCGACTATGCCGATTACGACGGCCGCGGTGACAGCAACGTGACGGCGACGGCCCTGCGACGGCGACTATGCCGATTACGACGGCCGCGGTGACAGCGGCGATGGCGATGACGACGGCAACCGCGACGAAGACGGCGATGGCGGTTGCGACGGCGACGGTCCTGCGACGGCGACTATGCCGACGACGATGGCCGCGGTGACAATGGCGATGACGATGACGACGGCAATCGCGACGAAGACGACGATGACGGTTGCGACGGCGTCGGGCGCGATGGATCCCAATCATTAAATGCAGTACTCGATAACAGCAAATAATTGCAAAAAGAACAGATATAAGGCTGAGGGATCAAATACATGCAGATAAAGCCAAACTACAACACATGCAGAAGTAGACAGGAACGAGGGTTTTCAATGATACGAGGAAGGAGAAAGGAGAGACGGGCAAAGATGCGCTTCGACTGCGCCCGCGGCCCCCCGCGGGGCAACCCCGGGCGCGGACCTCTCAACTATCCGCTCCTCACGAGCCAGTGCCCCCACTCACGGGCGCAACGCCTACGCACTCTGCACTGGGAGGAGGTCGCACGCAAAATCACGTGCCACTGCAACATGTGTAAATGAAAGGATATAAGAGAGCCAGGGCGTAACTCGAGGCAACCCCGGAAGCGCTCCGTCCCCCTCGGACGATGCATGGTGCTGATTATGAGCTAATGGAGCGCGAGTGCGCAGTGGCACCGCGGCTGCCGCTGGCATGGCGCGAGAGCTTCGAATCAACGCGCACCCTGAATATGATCCTGCGCGAGTGTGTGTTTTTTTGTTTGCGGTATCTTTTGTGGCCCCCTGGTGAACCTCGTGTGGCCTTCTTGGATTTCCTTTGCGGCTCCTCGGGTATTCGGTTCGGAAAGTCTCGGGAGCTCCCTTTAGCAGGGCTCCGAGGGCTCCGACAGGATCCCAGGAAGGTCTGAGAGATCTCCAAGAGAGCCCCCCCAAAGAGGCACAAAGTATATGCAAGAGTGTACCTCTTTTTGGATGCTTTTGGGATCTACTGGGGGCCCTCATTGGGCCTTCTTGGATTCCTGGTGAGCTCTTTGGGGATTCGGAAAATCTCGGGAACTCTCTGAAACAGGTTCCAGGGGGCTCCGAAAGGGACCCAGCAGGGCTCCTTGAGGGCACCCTTAGAGATACAAAGTAGATGCGCCTGTGTGACTCTTTTTGGGTGCCTTTTGGGATCCACTGGGGGTCCCTGGAGATTAGAGAGCCCTCTAATAATCTCCTGTGGCCTCAAGAACCCCCAAAAGGCGCCCAAGAAACCTCAAGAGGCTCCCACAAACCCCCAAGAGGCTCCCAGAAAACTCCCAACAGGCCCGATACTGACGTCAAGAGGCCCCAAGAGGATTCCATTAAATCCCAAAAGGCGCCCAAGAGGCGCTCAGAAATATCAGCCATCCACGAGATCCCAACCATCCATGAGGTTCTGATGCGCGGAGGTCGGCTGACGGCCGGAATGCGCCCGGGTCCAAGGCGCCCCCTCATCACTCAAATTCGCTCGTGTTGACTCGCAAGCGCTTGCGCTCCTCCGTGGCGTCGGCGTCCGCCAAGATGGCCTCGAGCTTGCGCTTCTTGAACGTGCCCTCGCCCTTGGGGTTGACCGTGCGCTTGCCTCGAGGGCGCACTGAACCCCCGTCGCCCGTCGAGAGCCCGGGCGCTCGGTCTGCATGTGACTCGGGCTCTCCCGCCAAGGGCCCGTGGAAATTTGCAGGGCGACTGCGGGCGACTGGGCCCACTGCCGAGAATTCATGCCCGGGCCCACCCAGCCAGGAATGAAGAAGGGAAAGCGAACGGGGCCACCCCTGTCTACCCCGAGCCCCCGGGCGCGGCAGTGCCAATTCGCTAGAAAACAACGCTCAGGCCGCCTGGCGCCGCCTCGGCCCTCGAGGTGGACTCCCCCGCGTCGGCGACACCAGCGACCCTGTCGACGAGATGCGCCGCGACCAGCGCCGCCAGGCCGTCGGATATCTTCTGGGCCAGGTCCGTCCTGTACCACGAATCCCTCTTGTTTCGGAGCCACTGCCTCGCGTCCGCCGCCGTGAAAGTCTGCCCCTTGGGGGCGCGGATGAGCAAAAATTGCCGCATCAGCTCGGACGGCGTGAGACCCTTCACCGCGGCCTCCGCGACGTCGGGAGCTGCCAGAACGGCCGCCGAACGTCCGCCAACGCCCCTGCAGTCGGCACCAGAGCGATGATTGCCCTCGGCGGCTGCGGCCTTCTGGGCTGCGTGGAAACGGTACAACCCGAAGTGAAGGTCAATTTGGCGCAGCACCTTGTGGAGGCCCATCGCGACGTCGTCGACACTGGGGAGGCGACGCCAGCGAGCGGCATCGAGGGGCGGAAGCGGCGCCAGGGCGCCGCCGCCGCCCTGGGCGGCATGCTGGGCGATATAGTCCCTGGCGAACTGGGCCCCGCGGTGCACCCGGTGCGTTCCGCGAAGCAAGTCGCTGTGAAGGAAATTCAACTTCGCCTTGAACACCTGTGGCATCGGCACGGTCTGACAGATGTCATCCAGAGCCTGCTTCGCAGCACGGTATATGGTGTAGGCGTAGCCGTCGAGCGAGAGTGCGCTGGCGACAGCGGAACAATGCGCGTGCATCCATCCGTGCAGCCGCTCGATGAATGAGTCGCTCTGTTCGAAATCGACCCCGTCGTCTGCGCGCACGTCCTGGAAGGCCCCGCCAAGACCCGCTGCACTCGGAAACAGCCCCGAGAGTCGGGCACGACCAAGATGAGGCCAGAAGAAGCGGGCCAAAAAGAAGCGAACTTGAGGACTCAGGCCAAATATGGGCCAGAAGATGTTAGCTTGAGGAGTGAGGCCGAGTGTTCGGCCGCGTGGTAGGCAGGATGGCGACATGTGATGGGCCCAGGGTTCACCCGCTGTCATGGAGGACCCACACCGTCTGCATGCGCTTCTGGAACCCGTGCACTATCGGCATGGCGATAAACTCGACGACCTCCGTCTGGCCCGAGCACTTGAGCATGAAATTGTAGTTGTCCAAAGACACCTTGCCGTTGCCGGTCGCCGGTCCGTCGTACTCGCTCTGCGTCCACGTGTTAAGCTTCGCGCAGCTGAGATACTGCACCCCGGACTCCTGGTCGCTGAAGGGCGTCAGGAACGTGTTGGCGGCCTCGTCGCTGGAAATGCCGCACCGCCTGTGTTCTTCGAGTTGCTTCCGAATACCCTCCGTGGTGCAGTCCGTGTTCATGACCAACTTGTCTTTGAAAACAGGGGAGGCCTCCAGGACCTGCGTCAACCATTTATCCGTGCACTGCATCAAAGGTGACTTCCGCGTGGAGGACGCACTGCCAATCAAGAGGGGCTGGCCAGGGGAAATGTAATGGCCTGACGACGGCAAGTGCGTGAGCGTCGTTCCAGGCGCCTCGATGAAACCCATGTTGCACTCGACGGCGGCGAGCAGCGCTTCCGCGGACAGACCCCGGGCCTTGCCTGCGACGTGGACGGCGTCCGCCAACGGCTTCGGCGCGATGGTGCGCAAATCGAAATCCAGCTCGCTGGCAATCTGGCGGTGGGACCGGGTGTCCTCCCACGCCCTCATGACCCTGTGGCGCACTGTCTCGTGCACCTCCTCCTTCGTTTTTAATCCCTCGAAGACAATGTCGGGGAACAAGAACTCTTCGATCGCTTTCGATGCCTCGTCCTCCGGGAGCTCTTCGACTATAGCCTGCAATGCGGCAAGACTCTCGCCCGTGGGGTCTGGGACGCGAAAGCTGGCACTCTCTGCAAGAGAATCCTCGAATCGCGCCCCATTCCTGAAGGGGGTGAACGACACAGGCGACGCCATCTCCGCAGAAGCTGGCGACTCAGGCGGGGGCTGAGAGGCGAGCTCGGGGCTCTTCCGAGGTCCGTCAACGATTGGACCTGGGCCGGCTGGTGAGCCCGCGGGGGAAGGGGGGCTCGGGGCAACCCCGGCACCGCCCCCCCCAGGTGCCGCCGACGCGCCGCCCGTCGCGAGCAGCAGAACGCCCCGGAAATGCAGGAGGACGAGGAGCGCGTGGAAGTAGCAGTCGCCCCCGTCGCGGACGCGCGACTCCAGCACGAGATCGCCGCTGCGACCAGCGACGGACGCCACCATGTCGGCCCACTTCGGTGACGGGCACGGGGGCAACTGGCCATGCTCGTCGACGTGAAGCAGCGGCAAGAAGTGACACCCATCCTCCGCGGACTCGTAATCGTTCTCCAACCCGCCGTGGACCAGGACAGCGTCTTCCCTCGGGTCGGGAACGGTGAAATCTGCATCGCGGAAGTGGGCGGCAGACACGGACGCGACTTGGGATGGCAGCGGCCGGGGCCCGGGGGCCAACCGAGACTGGAGACAATCCCTCATGTCATCCCACGCCGCGGAATCGCCCCATACGACGGCGCGACGCGCCACGGCAGAACTGATCTCGGTGGCGCGAAGTGTCTCGTCGCCGCGGGCGTCGGCGAGGCACGCCCGCAGAGCGGCGATGCCCTGCTCCTGCGCCAACCCGCACAGGGCGACCTCGCGGAACATGGCGGTGGAGTCCATCTGCAACTGTCGAAACTCCTACCCGACGGGCCCCCCGGCGCGGGCAATCCTCGAACCAGGCGCTATCGCGCGGGACAACCACGGACGCCGCCGAGGGAAGGCAACTAACTTGAGGGGTGGGTCCCGAGGAGGAGGCGGAGGAGGAGGGGGAGAGGAGGAGGGCAAGGGAGAGGAGAAGAAGGAGGAGGGAGAAGAAGGAGGAGGGAGAAGAAGGAGGAGGGGAAGGGGGAGCTTAAAGCCGTCAGAAACCTATAGATGTATTTACACACACAAATGCCGCAACGCACTCAGATATGGCGCGTGGCGACCCTCACTCTGACCTCACATCGCGCTCTTCTTGGCGTCGATATAGTCGATGGCGTCCTGATGGCCCTTCGCGTTCTTCACGTCATTGGTGCCGTCTTTGTTCACGGACTGCTCTACCATTCCTTTAAGTTGCACGCGTTTCCTTCTCGCTTCGTCGTACTTCTCCTTCGCCTGCTTCTTGTACTTCGCATCTTCGGGGCAAGCGGCGTGTCCGGCCACCGCGTCGAACGCCCTCGTGGTCTTGTTCCACCTCTTGCCGGCCTGCTCCATGAGACCGTCGCCTGCCGCCTCCAGATCGCGCGCCCCCCCGTTCGACATGCCACCCGCAGCGCCGCCCTCCCGGAGCCACGCCCTTGCGGAGCTGCGGGGGCAGTCTGAGCGCCCGGGCCCCGGCCCGCGACGGCCCGAGCCCAGATGGCCACAACGGCCACGGAGGGGCGGCGGCCCCCCCCTTGCCCGCCTCGGGCGGCGAGGGGGGGGCCATCCCCACGCGGCCCTGGCCCGCCAAGAGTGCGGGGAGGCCCGCGGATCGCCCACGACGCCTCCGCTGCCACCCCCCAAAAAAACCCACTGGGCCGACGTCGAGGAGCGGGGCGGCACCGAGGGCGGGAGCGGCATCGCCCGGAGGAGGAGGAGGAGGCGAGGACAAGAATGACGACGGCGGGGACGACCTGCAGGGAGTCGAGGCCACGGGAGCTCTTGACCATGCGGCAGTCCAAGGGGCCGCTGACAGGCTGGAACAGTTGGACACAGAGGCCAAAAGGAAGCTTGCGGAGTGCCAAATCGAAACAACGATCACAACATCCTCCAACAAAGGCTCCAAGTGCAATTCCAACAAGGGAGCTCCGGCGGGCCCAGGCGGGGTTGAAGTCGAGGTTAACCGAGAGCATTTTGAGACCGACGACGAATCGTGATTGCTGTTTTTTTTTCATTGTTTCTTCTGTATATCGTTGTGTGGATTATCACATTCGGGGCGCTTTTAATAGGCAAATATGTGTGTGCGATTCGCGGCTGTAGTTGTTTGCTTTCATTGAATTTTGTTCCCACCAGAATATTGTCTCCTGCGTCTTGGGGATGCCCAAAGCCCCCCATGCCCCCTGGGGCCCGTCCACGGCGGGATGTCTCTGGTGGGCATTCCAGAGCCCACCAGGGCCCGTCCTCGCCGCGCGGCGGAAGATGTACCTTTGGCAGAGGGGCGCAGGCTAAGCGGGGCACCGATCCCGACCCCGAGCCCCTGGTGAAACGGTTGCACGGGGACGCAACTCAGGGGGAACAAGGGCAACGGCCGCGAGGATCGCGCAGTCGCTGCGAGGCGGAGGGCGAATACTCGGCAGATGGCGCAAGGGCGCGTCTCGGGGCAACCCCGGAACCGCCGCGCGGCGGTGGGCATATCTTGGGCAGATGAGTCGCCACTGACAGGCGGCCACCCCTCTCGACCCCGACCCCGCCGCCGCTACGAGGCCACGGCTCCCCTGGGAGGCAGCTAGAGGCAGCCAAAGGGAACCTCAATTCGATGTACCCCTCACGCACGTCATGTCTCGGGCCCTCAACTGACCCCTCGGATGGCCTAACTGAGCTTAAACTCGAAACCACCCTCACGCACTTCGTACCCCATTCGCTTCCCAAGGTCATCAGCTAAACCCCAAGACCGCTCAACCCCCAAGGGATGATTGGTACCAGGCCCCTTCGAAGCCGCACCCCCGAACACCAACTGAATCCAACATCTGCGTGCGAGTTTTCCCTGCGGAGACCCGCCGTGATTCCCGCTCTGCGGGCTCAATAAATTCAAATAAATGCCACAAGGAACAAGTAAATGCACTTAAATGCGGAAGGCGCTCGCCACAGAAATGCTACTACAGCAAATTAAACATATGCGAAGGCAAAGACCCAACTCGGGGCAACCCCGGAAACGTCGCGCCTTGGCCCTCAGCCGAGGCCCCGCTGACAGAGGGGCCCGCGCCATTACATCAGACGAGCAAAATCCGCCACTGTGCCTCGAGACACGAGTTCGAACGCTCCTCGATTGCTCCTTGACGGCCCCAGCGGCCCCCATGAGCGCCCGAAGATGGCCCCAAATAGATGAATATATATATATATATATATATATATATATATATGTATGTATTTTTTAATCAAAAAAAAAACTATATTGCTCCAACAGGACCCCAGGGCACCCCCAAAACGGCCCCATTGCGGCACCCGGAATGTCCCGAGAAGATCCGGGACGCCCAAGACATCCGAAGAGTCCCCCACGGCCCCCGGTGACACACCGCGAGCCCCAGCGGCCCCCATGAGCGCCCGAAGACGGCTCCAAATGGATGAGTATATATATATATATATATATACATATAAGACAAACGGAGCCCCAACGGAGCCCCAGGGCAACCACAAAACGGCCCCATTGCGCCACCCAGGATGCCCCGCGAAGATCCGGGACGCCCAACACATCCGAAGAGTCCCCCACGGCCCCCCGTGACACACCGTGACGCCCCCGCAGGAAGCCTCGTGCCCGCGACCCAGGCCAGCCAGGGGGCAGATTGGGCCGAAGGCTCGGGGATCCGCTTGGTCAGAGTGTTCTTACCGCAGCGGCGCGCCGATTCGACGCCCTGGGAAAGGAACGCGTCGAGGAAGTGGAACGTGAAACACCGCATATCCCTGAAAGCTGCCGCAGGCACGCGAATCTTCTCACTTTTCTCGGCCGAGATGAACTTCCTGAAGAGGAAATCGGACAGCTCGTCGCAACCAACCCAGTCGACCGGCGCATCGCCGTCGTAAACACTCCCCGCGAGCTTCGCAAGGTCATCCAGGACGTTGGCAAGCCTGCGCTTCCGCTTGCTGGCCACGAACGTCTTCGTCTGGATAGAGCCTGACATCCGGACGGCCAGCGCAGTCATGGACATCTTCTTCACGCGGTCTTTATTCGCCCACTCGGCCACAGCGAAAGCGTCGCTCACCAGAGCGCGCAGGACGTACTCGAGGTGCTCGTGGACGGCACCCACGGCCTCATCGGTGATTTTCAGCGGCGCGCCTTCTGCGTGGCCGGACCTCTTCGCCGACAACAGCGGCAGCAGGGCGCGGATGATCCGCGCCACTTTGGCGCGCGGGATCAGGAGTGGGGCGTCCGCCAACGGGTTCTCCTCCGTCTCCGCCTCCTCCGCCGCCGGCTCGGCGGGCGGGGCCGCCGACGCCGCGTCATCGACCGCCGCCTGGCGGTACCAGCAGATTAGGTGGTAGACAAGTGCAGGCTTCTTCTCCCGGATCACGTCCCGGTGCAACATGGCAGCCTGGCCGATTTGTCTCAGCGCCCCGATTGACATTGTGAGCAGCGTCGCGCGCATGCCCCGGAAGTCCACGACGCGGTCGAACAGCTTCTGCTTGTCGCCCAGTGCTGCCTCCACCACCTCGTTCCAGACGAGGCCTCCGCGCCGCGACAGGAAGGAGCTCGCCAGCCTCCACTTCGCCTGCTCTTCTTCCGCGCCGATGCCCTGGCCGACGAGCACGCGGCCCTGCCCCTGGAAGGTAGCGATATGGGGGGAGGGAGCGACGATTTTGGAGCCCACTTGGGGGAACCACTTGGGCCCGCTTGGGGGAACCCCCGCCCGCGGACGAGGCCGACGATTTTCCAGCCACGCCGCATGAAGAAACCCAAAAACCCGTCTACCCTCTGGGCGCAGGTGGCCCAACCGCCCTCCCGCCTCCATGTCCTCCGCGTCGTCCTGGGCGCCCGCGCGCTCGGGGGAAACCGCGCGCAGCACCGGGCCCCCTTGCGCGCCCTCCACCTCGCGCCGCCATTCGGTGCGGTTCTCTACGATGCCACCGAGGTGCAACACCAGCACTTCCGTGCACCCGCCGAACAGCCGGCCCCACGCCTCCGTACCTCGGTCGGGCAAGCACTCGTCGGCCAAGTCGGCCACCTTGATCACCTCCTTGTTGACGATCTCGAACACCGCCTCCGGCCTGAACTTCTCGCGGCCGGCCCTCATCCTCACGCGGGTGACGTGCCAGTCCCGCCCACCCTGGAGGAACCGACGTCGCCAGTAATCGGTCTTCAACCCGCGGTACTCCTTGTTCTTGATGCCCTTCACTGCCATCTCCAAATACTGCGCATCTACTATCATATGCTGCGTCATTGCCCCCGCGGGCAGCCCCGCGGGCGGGCCGTCAGCGACTGGGGGGGGAATTGGGCTCGGGGCATCCCCGGCACCGTCTCCCGCCCGGACCGCGGGCGGCAGGTCCGCCGATCTCGCGGGCGGGCCGTCAGCGACTGGGGGGGGAATTGGGCTCGGGGCATCCCCGGCACCGCCTCCCCCTCGGACCGCGGGCGGCGGGTCCGCCGATCTCGACAACGCAGCGCCATCGGGGGCCGCCATCGGGCGCGACTGCGGGGCTCTTGGCGAGGGCACCCCGGGCGCCAGGGCAGGCGCGCCACGGCCGTCGGCAGCGCCAGGGTGAGCGTCGGCGCCCAAGACTGAGACGAGCTCCTTGCCCGAAGTGCTCCGCAACGTCACCCAGCCGACTTTGTCTCCGATCCTCACGTGCACCCGCATCACCGGGCCCTCCATCCGAGGCACGGCGAGGCCCTCGAGACGGTCCCCCACTTGGAGGCGCTTCGCGACTTCCGAGGAGAGGTCTGGGGATTCGGACAGAATGGTAGCGACCACGCACTGCCATACCGTCTTTTCGCCACCCTCCCCCGCAACGTCGCCCTCTTCGGACGCCTGGGCCACGCCTCCCGCGCCCGCGGCACCAGCGCGGGCGGCGCCCTCGAGGGGCCTGGCCGCGCTGGCGGCGGCAGCGCCGACGCCCTGCTCCGCAGCGCCCCCTGCGCCCGCGGCGCCCTCGGTGCAACCGCCCGTGGCGACACCGGCCTTTCTCTCCTCCGCGAGCGCCAACCCTTCCGCCACATCTTGCCTGCACGCAGGGCAAATCAGGCCGAGCGCGTCCACCTTGGACCAACTTGAAACGAGGCAGTCGGAGCAGAACGAATGCCTGCAAGGTAGGTGGCGGCACGGGACATCCTCCATGCAAATCATACAATTCGCGGGCGCCGGATCGCCGGGGTGTCCGCCCTTGCACCGCTCGAGCACGCTGTTGATGTAGTCCATATCCCGGGCGCTGCGGGACACGCTCGCGTCCAGTCCGGACAGCAATTCGTAATCCTCAGGGACGATACGCCGATACTGCAGATCCTCGACGGCCTTCTTGTCATGATCTGAGAGCACCTCCATTAGCAGCTCGTAGTGGGCTGGGTAGCGTTGTCGAGTGCGGTGCGCGCTTGCTAGGGCGCCCCGCGCTGCCCTTCGAGACATGACGACTGCGGACATGACGACAGCGGAGCTGGAAGCGGAACAAAAACAAGAGGAGGAGCAGGAATAGGAATAGGAGTCAACCAAGACAACTCGATCGTGCCACCAGGCTGGCCCCCCCAAGGCCCCGGGCCCTCGGGGGTGCACATGGGGCGCACCTGAAAGCGGCTACCCCCCTCACCCCGGACCCTCCGCCGCAACGTCGAGGGGCCGCCCCCCTCTACCCCGAGCCCCCCGCCGACGTGTTGGATGGCGACGGCGGAGATCATGCGCCGACGACGGGGCGGCGACGATGATGGTGACATTGATATCCGACGGCGTTGGCGCCGGAAAAACACGGCTCCCCCACATGTCCGCGAGGGCCCCGTGATCTCCAGGACCCCCCGGGCCCGCAATTTCGAGGGGCCACCCCTCTCTACGCCGAGCCCCCCGCCGACGCGTTGGATGGCGACGGCGGAGATCCTGCGCCCGCGACGATGGCGCAACTTGAAGGGGCCACCCGTCTCTACCCCGAGCCCCCCCTCCACGGCAGAGAAGCTCTGGTGCGGAATAAATGAAGACGATGAAGACGACGCGGCGGCGACGGTCTCTCGACTGCGGCCCCGCTGACCACGATGGCGGCGGCGGCGGTGACGACGATGACGGCAATGATGACGGCGACAGCAATCGCGACATAACGACGACGGCGTCAGCGGCGGCGAGAGCGCGCAGTCACTGCGCGGCGGAAAATGAATCTTCCGCACATGGGGCGCGCCTGAAAGCGGCTACCCCCCTCACCCCGGACCCTCCGCCGCAATTTCGAGGGGCCGCCCCTCTCTTCCCCGAATCCCCCGCCGACGCGTTGGATGGCGACGGCGGAGATCCTGCGCCCGCGACGTAGCATACCCCGAGCCCCCCTCTGCGACAGAGAAGCTCTGATGGGGAATAAATGAAGACGATGAAGACGACGCGGCGGCGACGATCCCTCCGCCGCAATTTCGAGGAGCCGCCCCTCTCTACCCCGAGCCCCCCGCCGACGCGTTGGATGGCGACGATGAAGATCCTGCGCCCGCGACGATGGCGCAGCTTGAAGGGGCCACCCGTCTCGACCCGAGCCCCCCCTCCACGGCGGAGAACCTCTGGCGCGGAGAGGGGGGGAAGAGGAGGAGGGCGAAACTGCGCGGGGACAACGCCCGCGGCATCTCTCAGACTGCCCCACGGGGCTGGTGGGTGTGAGATAGTTCCTCCCCGTGGGTCTCTAGGCCTGTGAAATAATTCACCCCCCCCCCTATAATCCCCGCCCAGGGACCCCAAACCAGCGATTCGACCCCCCCCCCCGCTCCCCCGGGCCCCTCCCCACCCGGGCCCCCTACAAGCGCGTCACGGCCTCTTTGCGCCCAAAAGAAGCTCACGACAAGCCAAGAAAGTCCCAAGAGACCTCCAACACGACCCACGAGGGTTCCAAGACACCAAGCGAGCGTTCCAACCCGTCCAAGATCGGCCGAAAACAAACCAAGGAATCTCCAAGACACCCCAAAAACCTCCAAAAAGACTCATCGGAAAACGTACATTTTCAAGACGGCCCAAGAGGCCCCAATGACGGCCCAAGAGGTTCCCAAGACATCCCCAAGAGAGGCCCGAAAGGGGGAACTTCAACCGACAATCCGAGCCTTCCGCCCCTTGACAGCCACAGCAAACTCCATGAGGCCCCAAGAAACCCCAAAAGGCGTCCAAAAAGGCCCCAAACGGCCCCAAAACGGCTCCCAAGACGCTGCGTAACTGCCTCCAAAATTCCCGCGAGAAGCCCCGCAAAAAATCACCACCACGAAACTTCGTGAACGCCTCTACCACCAACCTCCGCCGGCAGCGCTCGCACTGCTCTCGTAACATTAATTCCGCCTCCCACTCATCCCACATCACGCTCTCCCCTCGCAGCACTTGCAACATATTTTCGTGCCTGAACGCTTCTCCGCACGCCGCGCACGTCAGCGGCTTCGCGTCCGCCTCGGCTTTCCGTTTGCGATTCGCTGCCTCCGCATTGCCCCGTCGCACCCCTTTCTCTCGTTCTTCCGCGCATTTCCGACAGAATCTTTCCACCGCAGCATTGTGCCTTTTCTGAACTGAGGACATCTCCGCCTTTTCATCATACAGCGACAGGCGTTTCCCGTTCGTACATCGCACCGTGCCGACGCTCTCGTTCCACTTCGCGTTGCCTTTCCGCGAGTTCTGCTTTGCTTTGACATGGCTACACTTCGCGCAGTACATTTTCCTAATATGTTTCATTTCCCCGTCGTCGGCAGCCGCGTCCGCGTTCCGACCACTGCCATAGCGTGCCGCGTCGTCACTCTTTGCAGAACGCTGACCTTTCCTTTCTCTGGAACTCGTACTTCGTGAACGCCTCTACCACCAACCTCCGCCGGCAGCGCTCGCACTGCTCTCGTGGCATTAATTCCGCCTCCCACTCATCCCAATTCACGCTCTCCCCTCGCAGCACTTGCAACAGTTTGCTCGCGCCCGCCATCGCACCCGCGTTGCACGGACTCGTATCAAACGGGCGGAAGATCAGCAAATTCTCCCGTCTGACCACGCGCGCGATGGCAACGTAACTGCACATCCAACTCACGCCGCGCCCTCTTTCGAGGTCAGCTATCACTGCTGCCATGGTCCGCCCCTGGGCAACATGCGCCGTTAACACCAATCACGGGATTATCAAAAAATTGGGAGCGCTTCAAACTCAACACAGGATGCTTCCGATACCCGTCCAAGAACCATTGCCGCCATTTCGATGGAAAGATCGGATACAGCACCAGCTCCCACCCTGGCAGGTGCCACTCCTTCGTATGGAAGATGCAACATCACTCCCTCCTCTTCATCTCCCACGATCTCGTCCTCGTGCAACGCCCATCCATGGATCGTGGCTGTGCGCCCCCGCAGAAACTGTTTCTTGGACCGATCCAAGTGATCTCCTACAGCCACGGCCATTCCCTTGGTCAGCGCCAGCCACCCAGGCAGACTTGAGCACTCCTTCTCGTGGTACCTCAGCCAACGTATGTTATCCTCCACCGTGTACGGCCGCCTCTGTTCCCTCCCATGGCAAGGGCAATCCGCGCCACTCTTTCCCCCAGGTACAAGACGGTGTCCTCACCCCAAAAGCCGCCCCAGGAGAGCGCGATGCACGCACTTAAGCGCGGCATGCTTTAAACGCGGGTGACAGCAGAAAATGCAACTTCGCGCGCCCCGATCGCACGAAGCAGCACGGCTGATGCGTCGTTGGAGGGGAGGAAGCGAGGGAACTTCAATGAGTCGAGGAGGGGAGAAGTAGATTAGCAAGAGCCGCCGAAGCCGATTTCAGGGCAGACCAGATGATGCCCGCAGCTTAGCTGAGGTCACTGAAAGACTGGGCCGACACAGCCGATCGCGGGGCAACCCCGGCCACCGACCTATACGCTCTTTGCAAGCCGGTGTCCCCAATCACCAGCGCGACGAGAATGCAGTCTGCGCTGGGAGAGAAGCGTAGAAGTCACCTGACGACCCCTCTCGGCGCGCGAATTTGCCGCCCCCATCACTCGAATTCGCTCGTGCTCACCCGCAGGCGCTTGCGTTCCTCCGTGGCATCTGCGTCCGCAACGATCTCCTCGAGCTTGCGCTTCTTGAACATGCCCTTGCCCTTGGGGTTGCCCTTGCGCTTGCCTCGTGGGCTCGCTGAACGACCATCGAAAGCCCGGGCACTCCGGACTGAATGAGACCTGGATTTCCCACTGCGAAACCAAAAGAATCTCGGGGGCAACACAGGGAACTATCCACTGATTCCAGGGAAACTGCCGACGATTGATGCCTGGGCCCCACTGGCCCGGAGTGGCGGGGGAGAGCGATGGGAGCCCCTGGACGCGGCAGTGCCAACTCGCTAGACCACGACGCTCCAGGCCCCAGCCGCCTTGCGCCGCCTTGGCCCTCTGCGTGGAGTCCCCCGCATCGGCGGAGTCCGCGACCCTGTCCAGGAGATTAGCCGCGACCAGCGCTGTCAAGCCGTCGGAGATCTTCTTTGCCAGGTCCGTTCTGAACCACGTGTCCCTCTTATTCCTGAGCCACTGCCTCGCGTCCGCCTCCGTGAAAATCTGCCCCTTGGGAGCGCGAGTGAGCAGGAACTGCCGCATCAGCTCGGACGGCATGAGGGCCCTCATCGCTATCTCCGCGACGTCAGGAGCGGCCAGCACGGCCGCCGAAGGTCCGCCTGCGCACCTGCCGTCGGCGCCGGAGCGATGGTTGCCCTCGGCAGCGTGGGCGACGTGGAAGCGGTACAGCCCGAAGTGAAGTTCAATTTGGCGGAGAACCTTGTGGAGCCCCATCGTGATTTCGTTCACACTGGGAAGACAACACCCGCAAGCAGCATCAAAAGGCGGTTGCGGCGCCAGGGCGTCGTCGCCCTGGGCAGCATGCCGGGCGATGAAATGCCTGGCGAACTGGTCCCCGCGGTGCACCCGGTGCGTTGCGCGAAGCAAGTCGCTGTGAAAGAAATTCAACTTCGTCTTGAATGCCGGCGGCATTGGCACGGTCTGACAGATATCATCAAAAGCCTGCTTCGCAGCACGGTATATGGTGTAGGCGAAGCCGTCGAGCGAGAGAACGCTGGCGACATCAGAACAATGCTCGTGCATCCACCCGTGCAGACGCTCGATGAAGGAGTCGCTCTGTTCGGAATCGACCCCGTCGTCCGCGCGCGCGTCCTGGAGTGCCCGGCAGGAGCCGCTTCACATAGGAACAACATCGATCCGAAGAGGGCTGGTCTCCCCCAAAACGCCAGGGGAGCCCTCGAGCTCCAAGCCACTCGAGAACAGCCCCGAGAATGGGACACGACCAGGACGGGACCAAAGGAAAAGATTAGGAGGGGCCAGAACCTGTGGGCTCGGGGAGCGAGGCCAAGAGACACGCGGCGGAAAATCGCAACCAAGCTCGGGATGGCGAAATATGATGGGCCCAAGGTTGGCCCGCTGTCGTGGAGAACCCACACCGTCTGCATGCGCTTCTGGAACCCGTGCACTTTCGGCATGACGATAAACTCGACGACCTCTGTCTGGCCCGCGCACCTGAGCATGAAATTGTAATTGTCCAAAGACACCTTGCCGTTGCCAGTCGCCGGTCCGTCGTGCTCGCTCTGCGTCCACGTGTTAAGCTTCGCGCAGCTGAGATAGTGCACCCCGGACTCCACGTCGCTGAAGGGCGTCTGGAACGTGTTTGCGGCCTCGTCGCTGGAGATGCCGCACCGGCCGTGTTCTTCAAGCTGCTTCCGAATGCCCTTCGTGGTGCAGTCCGTGTTCATGGCCAACTTGTCTTTGAAAACAGGGGAGGCCTCCGGGACCTGCGTCAACCACTTGTCCGTGCACTGCATCAAGGCCGACTTCCGCGTGGAGGACGCGCTGCCGATCAAGAGGGGCGGGCCAGGGGAAATGTAATGGCCTGACATCCGCAAGTGCGTCAGCTTTGTTCCGGGCGCCTCGATGAAACCCATGTTGCACTCCACGGCGGAGAGCAGCGCCTCCGCAGAGAGACCCCGGGCCTTTCCTGCGGTGTGCACGGCGTCCGCCAACAGCTTCGGCGCGATGGTGCGCAAATCGAAATCCAGCTCGCTGGCAATCTGGCGGTGAGACCGGGTGTCCTCCCACGCCTTCATGACCCTCTGGCGCACTGTCTCGTAGACCTCCTCCTTCGTCTTAAAACCCTCGAAGACGATGTCAGGAAACAGGAACTCTTCGATCGCGTCCGATGCCTCGTCCTCTGGGAGCCCTTCGACTTTGGCCTGCAATGCGGCGACGCTCTCGCCCGTGGGGTCCGGGACGCGAAGACTGGCACTCGCTGCAAAGGAATCCTCAAACCGCGCACCATTCCTGAAGGAGGTGAACTGTGTGCTCGGCAGAGAGACCTGAGTCGCAGGTGACGCTTGCTCCGCGGGAATGGGCGACTCAGGCGGGGGCTGAGAGTCGGGCTCGGGGCTCTTCCGAGGCGTCGCAGGGGGGCGCAACCCCGCGAGCGGGCCGTCAGCGATTGGGACTGGACCGGCTGGTGAGCTCGGGGGAGGAGGTGGGCTCGGGGCAGCCCCGGCACCACCTCCCCCCGGGGCCGCGGACACGCCGCTCGGCGCGAGCATGAGCACGCCCCGGAAATGCAGGAGGACGAGAAGCGCGTGGAAGTAGCAGTCGCCCCCGTCACGGACGCGCGACTCCAGCGCGAGATCACCACTGCGAGCGGCGACGGCCGCCACCATGTCGGCCCATTTCGGTGACGAGCACGGGGGCAACAGGCGGTACTCGTCGACATGGAGCAGCGGCAAGAAGTGGCACCCATCCTCCGCGGACCCGTACCCGTTGTCCAGCCCACCGTGGACAATGACAGCGTCCTCCTTGGGGTCGGGAACGATGAAATCTGCATCGCGGAAATGGGCAGCACAGACGGACATGACTTCGGATGGCAACGGCCGAGAGCCGGGGGCCAAGCGAGTCTGGAGAACAACCTTTATGTCATCCCACGCCGAGGAATCGCCCCACACGACAGCACGACGTGCCATGGCAGAAGTGATCTCGGTGAAGCGAAGTGTCTCATCGCCGCGGGCGTCGGCGAGGCACGCCCGTAGAGCGGCGATGCCCTGCTCCTGCGCCAACCCGCACAGGGCGACCTCGCGAAACATTGCGGTGGAGTCCATCTGCAACTTTCGAATCTCCTACCCGACAGGGGCCCCGGCGCGCAACTCTCGAACCCAACGCTACCGCGCAGCTGAGTTGAGGCGCGCAGCCGCCGCGCGGCACTCGAAGGGGCCACCCCTCTCTACCCCAAGCCCCAACGGGCCCTGTCCGCGGCGGGGGGTGTCCCATGGAGCATCTGGCCCCGATTCCCCACGGGAGACCATCCGCCGCGGACAGAGCTCACGGGGAGCCCCCCGACGGACCCTGCCCGCGGCGGGGGGTCTCCCGTGGAGAATCTGGCCCCGATTCCCCACGGGAGACCATCCGCCGCGGACGGGGCCCGACACCATGCCAAACGGGACCTCCCGGGGCGGGTTTTCGAAGCCCCGACACCATGCCAAACGGGACCTCCCGGGACCATCACTACCCAAAACTGCAAAAAAACACTAGAAATCATTGAAATATTGCCAAAATCAAAAAAAAAAAAACAACAACACACACACACGGAAAATCACTAAAATTTACCCAAAATCACCCCCCGGGGGCCGTATACCGCCCGGGGGCCGTATACCGCCCGACGGACCCTGTCCGCGGCGGGGGGTCTCCCGTGGAGAATCTGGCCCCGATTCCCCACGGGAGACCATCCGCCGCGGACGGGGCCCGACACCATGCCAAACGGAACCTCCCGGGGCGGGTTTTCGAAGGCCCGACACCATGCCAAACGTGACCTCCCGGGACCATCACTACCCAAAACTGCAAAAAAAACACTAGAAATCATTAAAATATGGCCAAAATCACCCCCCG